GAGGGGGAGTTTGAACAGCTGTGGCCTTGCAGCAACCCCCCGGCCCACGGGTTCCATACACCCACGCTAAACCGAAACCAGGCTCACTGCCCCCTGACTCATAGCAACCCCCCTCTGGGTTTCCGTGATACCCCCAGTCTTTCTTTCTGGAACTGCTGGTGGTTTCGAACTGCTGGGCATGTGGACCGCAGGCCAACACGTAACCACTACACCACCAGGGCCCCGTGAACCCATGCTACCCAGCAATAAGGATGAGCCGACTGACACATGCCACAGTTTGGATGAATCTCAGAGGTCTTGTGCTGCATGAAAGGAGCCAGTCGACCCCAGTTCTCCGCTGGCACATCATCCTGGGAGAGAGAGAAAACTATGAGGGTGGAGAACTCTGGGGAGTTTGGGGTGATGGGTCTGCTCTGTGGCTGGACTGTCATGGTGTCTGTCATGAATCTTTACAGTTCAGGAAACCATACACCCAAAAGTCAAATTTACTGTTTATTAACTTTTTAAGGTGAAATAAAGCTCACCCATTTTGACTTCTCTCTACCGCCCTCTGGACCACTCCAGCTTCTGTTCTTGTTGCCAGGCCAGGGTGCAGGCTGGGATCCTTTGCCTGCCAACTCTCTCCTCTGTGCCCACCCTTTCCCCCACCCTGCTTTCCCCAACGTGCCTTCTGGGGGAGGCCACTCTGCCTGTATCTGCCGTGTCCTTTCTGCTGCCTGGCAGCACGATGGTGAGGGGGAGACTATCACCCCAAATGTATGCCCACAGGGACCTCGGAATGAGGGACTCTACAGATGTGATCCGTTCATTAGATGAGGTCATACTGGGTTGGCATGGGCCCTGAACGCAGCGGCTGATTTCACTAAGGCACCGCTAGGCAGGTGTGGCCGGTGGGCTACCAGGAACTGAAGTGATACAGGAGTGTCAAGGATTGCCGGTCTCCATGGGAAGATTCTCCCTGGGAAGGAAGCCCCCCGGCCAACACCCCGGTTTTAGATCCTAGCCTCCAGCACTGGGAGAGCATTTACAAGCCTGTATCATCTTAAGCACCCAGCATTCGCCCCTTGTTACAGTAGCCCCTGCCAACTAGTACTAGGGCTTCCCCCTCTGCCAGGCCACAGGGAGCTTCGCCCCGGGCTCGCCCAGCACCCTTTCAATGACAAGACTTCTGTGTCTTTAGGAGTGGATCCACTGCCCGGCTGTCAGTGCATTTGCCACACGGTGGTGGCTGTCGTGTTGCTGTGACACTAGAAGCAATGCTACCGTTATTTGAAACCCAACAGGGTCAGCCGTGGTGGACAGATTACAGCAGATCTTCCAGACTCAGCCAGAGCGGAAAGGCCTGGCGATCTACTCGACAACCAGCCTGCGAAAATCCTCTGGGGCACAGAATACTGACACGCTCGCTCTAGCTGCATCCCCCGAGGGACTGCTGGCTGGAAGGACACTGTTTTTGCTAAAGCGGAGGAGGAATCCCCTCCATGGGATGGACTGACACAGTGGCCAGAGCAACAGGCTCACACACACAATCCGGAAGCTTGGAGGCCTGGGCAGCATTTCATTCTGATACTCGGGGTCTCCGTAAGTCAGAGCCAACAGCGTGGACAGCAACCAGCAGGAGCAGCATCGGCAGTGGATGCTAGGGCCAGCCAACCTGAGGGCTGCCGAGACCTGGCGTCCGTCACTGCCTCATTTTCCTCCTTGTAAAGGGGCACCCGTAATAGTACTGTCTCTTAGAAGTGCCGGATCTAGATAATGTGTAAGATGAGCTTAGCACGTGACAGTGTAAGTCATGAAAAAATAATACTTTATAAATTACCAAAGGTTCCTGAGGGAGGGAGGAGGGGATGAGGAGCTTATGCCAGGGCTCAAGTAGAAAGAAAATGTGTTGAGAATGATGATGACAATAAGTGTATAAATGTGTTTGACACAATGGATGGGAGTATGGATTGTGATAAGAGTTGTACAAGCCCCCAATAAAATGATTTTTTTAAAAGAAAAAATATACATAAGCTAGCCATTGTTGTGAATAGGAGTCATGTTGGGAGCTTTGAAATAACACAGGCCTCTAGGCGCCCCAGCACAAGGGACACATTGGGGGTCACCCGCATTTTTAAAAAGGCTTTCTTGGATAGGGTTGCCAGGTTTAGGGGGTGAGGGAATGAAAAAATACTGTCTACCCAGCTAAAGGTGAATTTCAGATAAACAACGAGTAATTGTCAGTCTCATACAATATCTGGGATATTGTTAAAATGTATTTCTTGTGTAGCTGAAATTCAAATATTCAAAGCCTCCCTTGGGGAGGCTTCCAACTTCTTGCCGGAGTTAAAGGTAAGCCCTTCCCCAGTCAGAAAATCACAGGTGTCCTTGCGTTCACTAGACACCAGAGGGCGCTAGAGATGGCGTGTGTGCTCTGTGCTCCAGCAGGTGAGGTTTCCAGGCCCCAGCTTCAAGGAGTCTAGGAGAAGCCGGGAGTGAGTCCAAAGTGGGCCACCTCTCTCTCTGTTTGGGGTGGAGGGTGGTGAGGTGGGTGGGGGCTGTTTAATTTTATTTTTAAAAAGCTCTTTAATTGGGTTCATAGGAATGCCCACAGACTAAGGCATGAGCCCACCCTCGCATGGATCCCTAACCCACCTTGGGTCTGTGTTAGCCAGCAAACTGCCTGCCTCTCCTAATTCAAACATAGGAACCTGTCAGAATTCAGGCACACCGTGATGGGGTTATAATCAAGCAGGCACCTTCTCGCCAAGTCCCCACTTTCCACGTTGACCCCCCAAAGCCCGATCGGAACCGACCCGGAGCAGGCGTCCCTTTAAATGTGTGCGGGGTGGCACTGGAGGCAGGCCAGCATTTCCCGCACGGGCTTGCGCTCGTAGCAGATCTGATAGACGGCGGTAAAGAGGGGGAACTTTTTGGTCAGATCGCTGTGCATGAGAATGCGGTGCACCTGGGCGGCCGTGGGCGGCCCCTGGAGCTTCTGTCCATTCAGCAGCTCTCTCTCCAGCTCCTCGATGCTCTTCCCGGTCCGGGCGAAGACCTCGGCCACCCTGCGGTTGCGGCCTCCGTAGCAGGTGGTGATGAGGTCGGCCACGCCGCAGCTCTCCAGGAAGGTGGCGGTGGACACCTGGCCCTTGCAGAAGATCCTGGCGAAGGCGATCATCTCCATGAGGCCCAGGCGGATGACCGCAGCTTTGGTGTTGTCCCCCCACCGCAGGCCGTCGCAGAAGCCGGCGCCCACTGCGACGATGTTCTTCAGAGCCCCGCAGAGCTCCACGGTGTCCGCGTCGTCCACCACGGTGACGCGGAAGTTGGGGGTCTGCAGGAGCTTCTTGAATAGGAAGCCGTTCTTCACCGCCTTGCTGCCGATGGTTGTCTCGCAGAACTGCTCCTCCGCCACCTCGGTGGCTGTGTTGGCGCCCATGAGCACACTGACGTCAATGTCCAGCTTCTCGCGGATGATGTCGGAGATGAGCTTCAGCCCCTGGTGGCCCTCCTCCAGCCCCTTAATGAGACTGATCCCCAGCGCCTTCCTGGACACCTTCCCACTGATCCCGTCACAGATCTTGTGGATGTACTGGTGCGGAATGACGAAGACCAGCAGGTCTGCGTCCTGCACGGCCTCCGTCAGACTTGGGACGGCCACCACGTTTTCCGGCAGCTTGTGCCCCGGGAGATACCTGACATTCTCGTGGTCACTGTTGATGATGTCTGTCAGTTTTCGCCCATCTATCACTTCTTCAAACACCCACATCTTGACCGTGGGAGCAAACTGCTGCAGTTTCTTTACATTATTACCAATGATTTTCGCAATGGCGGAGCCCCAGTTCCCAGAGCCCACAATGCACACTTTCAGAGGTACCTCTGCCATGGCTGGCGACGCCGCAGCCATGGCCACCCCTCTCTGGTCAGCTGCCTGTCGCCACCCCTCTCTGGTCAGCTTCCTGTCGCCACCCCTCCACCTTCATTCCTCGGGGTGGGGCTCACCCAGCCACTCATGGGCTCCTCTCTGGTCCCCAAGACGGGCCTCCCCTTGATGTCACAGCCCTATTCTGAGATCACGGCCGAGGGCTCCTCAGCCCAGGCAGCCCAGCCCTGCCCTCAGTGTAGCTAAGGCCAGCAGTTGAGCCAGGAGGGAGGCTGGTGGCCCCAGGGTGCAACCCTAAACAACATCTGGGCAGCTTGCCATCCTATTGCTCCAAAATGAAAATCCTCTAGAAGGTAAGGTGCCAGGCGGTCCTCCGGTCCCCTTTGGCCATGGTCTGGGATGGGGGTCGGGAGGCCCAAATCTCCAGGGCACATCGGGTGGATCTTCTCTGTGAACAGCTCTCAGAAATCCTTTTTGCCTTGGCATACAGGTGACCTAGGGAAGTGGCTCTCTCTCTCTCTCTCTCTATTCAGCGATCCTCTCCTGTTTTGAGGCGCCCCCCCCCCCCCCCCGGATTCTTGCATGTGGTGTGTTTTGCTCAGTCTCTGGCACGTGGAGAATGTCTTTAGTTCCTGCCTCAAGGTGGGGTCCCCCAGGCTACTGGCTCCGCCTTCCTCATTCCCTAAGAATTGGGATGGAACAGGGTTGTGTTCTCAGGATCCATGGGAAACTTATGCGTTCAAGTGACTAAATCCCCAGCCCCAAGGAGGGGAAGCTTCTTCCTCCTTGCTGGTTGGAAGGTGTCACGAGGCCTCTTGGGAGCGTATCATTGCAGGCACAAGGTGAGCAGCATGCTGTGAAAGGAATTGGAAGAACTCCTCTCCAACAGAGCACACAGGAAGTCCCCTAGAAAGCTGCACATGCTTGGAGGGGAGCCCCGAGATTCTGGTCGAAGGATAGGATGGTACCAGGAACCCCCAGCTTAATAAGCACCCCATCTTTCCAACTATCCAATCTCTCGTTGAGAAATTCGAGGTTGCTCTTTCAGCCACCCTGGGTGGCTCCTGCTGGGACCCCCTCCCCCCTCCTTCCGATTCCACAGGGAATGGGGGCTTCATAGCTGTGCAACTGTACTCCGTGTGTTCCTGTAACGTGCTCGATCCTACGAGGCAGCAGAGAGGCCGTGGGGCTTCCCGTTCACTGTGTGTGCACACAAGCTGCTGTTCCAGTTCCGGGCCCGCCTTCCAGGTCCCAGGGCAGCTCTTTCCCTGTTTGGCAAGAGGGAGTGCCCCTTCACAGGACACACAGACACTCTGCATGGCCCTCCCCTGACTGAGGAGGGACTAAGGGTGTGAATCGTTGGTCGTTGAAAGTGACCGCGCGGTGGGTGTTGCTGGCGGAAGGGATTGGCTCTGTCTGCAGGGTGGCTGCCCAGAACCGATGGTGCACACGATGACGGCCAGACCCTGCTGGTGGGCCAGTAGCTCCCCATGGGTAGTACGCCCCCTCTCGGGCTGTGAATTCTGGCTTTCCAGAGAAGGTCGCCCAGCCTTCTAAGCAAGCAAAGTTTGTTTATGCACAGTTTGCAGGGGAAGCCTGGGGCTTAAGATGTAGCCATCTTACCTAGACAGGAGCCCTGGTGGTGTAGTGGTTACACACTGGGCTGCTAACTGCAGGGTCAGCAGATCGAAACCACCAGCCAGCTGTACCTTGGGCGAAAGAGGAGGCTTTCAACTCCTGTGAAGTTATATAGTCACAGAAACTCACAGGGGCAGTTCTACCCTGTCCTATAAGGTCGATGGGAGTTGGCATCCACTCAATGGCAATGAATGTGTTTTGGTTTATCTTACGGGTGCTCGCTTCAGAACGCTGTAATGCCCAGTCACCCCCTGTGTCCAGGCTCGGGGATCGGAGTTGTGCCAGATATTTTCTTCCACACTCCTGGTCCAGGCGGAAGGCAGGACTTGCCTGGATGCTTGGTCCTTTGTCCTCACATGTCCAGGTTGGAGGGGTTGACCTTGCCCAAACCCTCCAGTGTGGAGATGGGTTGACCTCTCTGACTCCCACCGGGGCCAGGGAGAGTCCCCTCAGTGCTACCTCAAAGCTGCTTCTGTTCCATCTCAGGGGAACCCCTGCTTGCTCACTCGGGCTCTTGGGGTGGCTGAAGTCAGTACCTGGTATGAGAACTGAGTTTGGAGCCTCTGGGGGAGAAGGAGGCTCTGTAGGTTGGAGGTGGGGCCCCGCATCCTGTACCCCACATCCTGAGAGCCCCTGGTAGCAGATCCCAAATTGCCGGCTCTGTGTCCACAGCAGTAGCCACACATGGGCTTGCTACTCCGTGAACGCGCTGCTGGAAAACCTCCGGTGGGCACCAGGCCTCGGGGATGCTGCTAGCGCCCTGCGTGGGGGTTGACGGACCATTTCCAACAGCAACCGAAGCCGAGAGGGGAGTCTCCGAGCCTCCATGTGCTGCTCAGCGGTGGCAGTTAGCAACTCCCAGCCAACCTGGCCCACACATCATAGCTGTTCCAGTCACACAGGGTTCTGAAAGACAAGGGTCTTAACAACCAACCGACGTTCATGATCACCTGTAGAAAACGAACCCGTTGGAAGGAGGCTTATTTCAAGGAGCCCCTAGGATCACCAAGAGGAGCCCCGATGGCAGAGCAGTGATGCACGGGGCTGCTGCCCCAAAGGCCAGCGGTTTGAAACCACGAGAGAAAGACAAGGCTTTCTGTTCCCGTGAAAAGTTCGCTTCAGAAACCCTTACAGGCAGAGTTGCCCTGTCCCATTGCGGGCTTGCTGCCAGTTGGAATCGGCTTGACGGCAGAGAGATGGGTCTATATCCGGTTCCTGGGAACCCACAATACGCACTTTCATAAAGTGTGGGTCGGTAACCGCAAGGTGGGAGGTTCAAACCCACTAGCCACACTGCAAGAGAAAGATGAAGCTGTCTGCCCCAGGAAGGATGTATAGCCTCAGAAACCCTCCATAGGGGTGTGTGTGCTGGGTCAGAAACGGCTCAATGGCAGTGGGTGGGACTTTTAGTAGGATGGCTCGGTGGTGGGTGCAGCCCCGCCCTCTGGTGAGGTACAGCGGGTGAGGGGAACAAGGACAGGCGTGCAGGCGGCTGAGGAAGGGGCGCAGCCTTCCAGTAGAGGAGGCTGGGAGCCGCCACGAGATCGATGACCATCGAGTCAACGCCGAGTCCCGACAGCCTCAGGTGTGCCAGAGTAGAACTGGACTCTGCAGGGTTTGCAAAGGACTGGGGTGTTTGATGTTGGTTGCCAGGCCTCTCTTCAGAGGTGCCAATCTTTCAGACAGCAGCCCCAAGCCCCTCTACCAAGCGTACCCTCCAGGAACTCCCTGCAGACTCCTGGCCCTTTCCAAAGGAGGGCTTGTTGAGGAGCAGGGGGATCGGGGATCCTGGAAGGATGGGGTCTCGGGAGGCCTTGTCAAGGGGGAGGGCGTGAGTCTGAGAGTGTGTTGGCCCTGTGTATTTTTGTAGGAGGTGGTAACAATTTGGATTTCTGTTTGATCCTGGGGCCCATTCGGATGGAAATACGTCTCCATCCCTTCCTGGCCCCATCTGAATCTGAGCCCACAGCAGCTCAGAGCCAAGGTCCCCAGGACTAAGAACCCCCACGCAGAATTTGAGGGCAACTGATCTTGAGCTCTCGGATAAACCGACCTGGCCCACCTTGTGAGGGTGGCAGACAACATGGTCCTGAACTCACCCTCCTGGTTGGCTCTTCTGCCCAACAGCCCAGCCCAGAAGTGGTCCCCTGTTTCAGCCGAAAAACAGGCAGGTGGCAAGAGTGGTCTTTGTAAGAATTAGTAGGTCAGAGGATAAAAGAAGTCATTATCTGATAATATATGGTCTTTATTTTTTTTAAATCATTCTATTGGGGGCTAATACAACTCTTCTCACAATCCATCCATTGATCCATTGTGTCCAGCACATTGTACATTTGTTGCCATCATCATTCTCAAAACAGTTGCTTTCTACTTGAGTCCTTGGTATCAGCTCCTCCTTTCCCCCCTCCCCCGCCCTCCCTCACGAACCCCTGATAATTTATAACTTATTATTATTTTGTCATGTCTTACCCTGACCAATGTCTCCCTTCACCCACTTTTCTGTTGTCTGTCCCCCAGGGAGGGGGTTATATATAAATCATTGTGATCAGTTCCCACTTTTACCCTCCACCTTTCCCTTACCCTCCTGGTATCGCTACTCTCATTATTAGTCCTGAGGGGTTCATCTGTCCTGGATTCCCTATGTTTCCAGCTCTTATCTCTACCAGTGTACATCCTCTGGTCTAGCTGGATTTGTAAGGTAGAATTGGGATCATGATAGTGGGGGCAGGGGGCGAGGAGGAATCATTGAAGAACTAGAGGAAAGTTGTATGTTTCATCGGTGATATACTGCACCCTGCCACAAGACCCTTCTGTAAGGGGATGTCCAGTTGCCTACAGATGGGCTTTGGGTCCCCACTCCACACTCCCCCTCATTCACAATGATAAGATTTTTTTGTTCTGGATCTTTGATCCCATCGACACCTGGTGATCACACAGATTGGTGTGCTTCTTCCATGTGGACTTTGTGGCTTCTCAGCTCGATGGCTGCTCGTTTATCTTCAAGCCTTTAAGACCCCATGCGCTAAGCCTTGATTTCTGTACACATCAAAGGAGGGCTGTAATGAGGTCAGTGTGAGGACAAATATTAGTTGTTGTTGTAGTTAATCCTCTTTGAGCCGCGGAGACCATATGCTAGCTGGTCCAGCGCCAAATGGTAGTGATACTAACAGCCAGCTACATGACTCCAGGTGAGAGGGCACCAGGTGGCACAGCTCCCAGCCAGGTGTCACTGCAGCACCCCTGACTCCTGGAGGCAGGTCCAGGTGTCAGCAGATCCAGGCAGGATGGTCGCACAGTTTTCTCTTGCAGGAGGGACCTCTCCAAAGTGCTTCCAGTGTCCCTAAAGAGACGGCACCCTGTTTTCT